GGTCTCTGTGTGTGTGTGTGTGCAGATTGCTTATACATGTTTCTATATTAAATCGCCGTTGCACAGGCTGCAGATCACAGTTTGGCACTGAGCAGTCGGCAGTGCACTGTGGGTCAGTTAGCCGGCGATCGTTTGATGATTGGAAAGTATACCGTTGAAGAGCTCATTGACATAAGTAAGGCAAAGGTGGGTCGTGGTTGGGAATATGATTACACGAAGAAGAACTAATCGACTATTCCGTTTATCGCAATAGGATATGTAGTCGCTCTCGAGTTGAGTTATGTCGACTTTGGCTGCTAACGTCGGCTTGCAACGTAATTTAACCAGACAAGTGCATGTACATGTATATTATTAGTGCTCAAAAACTCCGAGAGCACGTTCAAATCAAGAGGTAGGAATGAATAAACGTTAGCCTTTCGAACCTGGTCGCCACAATTGGTTGGAACAGACCATTTCAACGCGTTATTCCCTATCCGTATTGTGATGCCTCAAATCATAAACTAGATCAAGAGAGTGGATGACCGGCAAACTCCCGCTACATTTCCACATGCTACAGAGTGTGCCGACTATAGTTCGTCCAGATGTCACAGTAAGTAGACATATGATTCTGTCCTGTTGATTTCCTCTTTACCCGGTTTCTTTATTTGTAAAGAATCAGGGCTTCGCAGCACACTTTTACCTCTATCCTTCTGTAACCCCCATTGGCTTGAAGCTCTCGTATATTCTCTGTTAAAGGTATATTTTTTTATTTTGCAGATTATAACGAAGTAGAACCCAGGAGGTGGGTGGGTGGATTCTTACCAGGATTATTTATGCAGTTTTATGACTGGGATATAAGCCGATGTGATTTAGAAGATGCAGACGCATGGTTAGAAAGGTATGCAATTATGCATTCTCCCGTTTTAGCAATTATACTGTGATAAGTGAATTGTCCTTGCGGCATCCTATTATGTACTCGAATACTGGGGGCTCGAAGTTCGATAAATATCAGTCCAGACTCAGTGCTATGTTCTTAATCGTATGTTAATAGGAATAACGCAAATTCATAAACTAGATTTGACAAGAGAATTGGTGATCTTTCGGAAGAACCGACGAGAGAGGGTACCCACGATGTGGGCTTCAAGGTTTTTTACTCCTATGGTCACGGCTACATATCAACAGGTAATTCGTTTTAGTAGGCAAGTGTTTTCGAGGCGACATACGCCAAGCTGGACTGCCACATCTATGCAAGCGGTAATCACGAAATATCACGTGAATTGGAGCATTTCACATATTGTCGGACAATGCAAACCCCGTGAAACCCGTGAGAGGTCAGTTTGTCCAAATTTTCTATTCCTACTTGAATGTGCGTGATAAAACAATCGATTTATAAACAGCAGGTTGCATTTAATTCCGGTATTGGCTGATATTATCTTTACCAGAATCTGGGGGCATTTCGCTGCACAATCTGTGCTTGCCCTAAAGTATAAAATATCTATCGTAGCCAAGATCGATATAGGTATATAAACTTAAACCCTGCTCAGGCAATGAGGATTGGTATGAGCCCATCGTGCAGGGAGCGCACACTCTCGCTTTGAGGTATAGCGATACGGTCGGAGCTATCAAGAGTTGGGATACCGAGAACTACAGGTATCCCACCAATCAATTCAAATGGCCGGTCATAATAGGTGAGTAGTTATAGAATATTTTTATAACGAGTCTGCCTTTGCTTGTCTCAAGCAAGCGCAGTTGGTATTCAGTGTAAGCTATTAGTCGTCATAGCGCATTGTGTAAGTTATTGCAGGAGGTTGTTAACAGTTCCCTTTACCTTCAGATAATATGATGAACCTTGAAATGATGTTGTGGGTGTCGGAGAAAACAGGAAACCAAACCCTTTGGGATATGGCTGTGCAGCATAGCAAAACAAGTAAGTTCGATCACTTGTCCGGGGTGACATATCTGCTACGTATATCTGCTACGTTTTCAGCTACCTGAATTGATCTTAGAATTGATTATGCATACTCTTGAACTGTTCGGAATCGTGGCATGTAGATATGTTGCTGAGTTCGGTCTTACCATTTATGCAGCTATTCGAGATCTGTACCGCTCGGACAGCTGTACATGGCATGTAGCAAACTACGATGGCGATAATGGGGAGCTGCTCGGCCAATACAGTCAGCCGCAGGGTCTTAACATGACCTCCATTTGGACCAGAGGCGTCGCATTTGGCATTCACGGGTTCACTACTGTGTATAAATGGACTAAAGAGGAGGAATTCTTGAGCCAGGCTATCAAAACTGCCGACTGTTTCATTTCTGAATTAGAAAAGTGCTGTGAGAATGACTACGTGCCACTCTTTGATTTTCAAGACACCGAGAAGCGCCCAGACACTTCTGCCGGAGCCATCGCAGCGTCGGGATTTATTGAACTTTCCACATTTGTCGAGGCAGAACAATCCGTCAAGTATGTGCTCGCGGCTGATCGAATACTGAAGGGGTTGGCTGGGAGTAAGTACATGGGTGACGAGGATATGGATTCTATTTTGGTCCACGGTATGGGTGACTTTCCCGTGAAGGATATAGACGTCGGTCTTATATACGGAGATTACTTCTTTGTTGAAGCTCTGACTCGCTTTGCTGCCTTGGAAGGTGATAGATAGTGTTAGATGATGTTTGGGAAGCAGGTGAGGCAATCGATATATGGGTACCGTGAGGTTTACGACCTTTCGAGGCACAAATTTTGCTTAGTACAGACTTGGCGTTTACCCGGGTGCGAATAGTTTATCGGCGTAAACGACCAGTGATAGCGAATAGGTACAAAGGAAAATAACTAAATATGCGCAGAATGCATCGGTTCAGGAAAGGTCACGCAGTTCTGATTTACACAAACGATCAGCGAGTTATCATATAGGGACTTATTGCGAAGAAATGTACTCATACTTCCTGTTACTAGATAGGCGACAATAGGGTCATAAAGCCTGCAGGTATAGATAGTGTGGTCCTCAAAAGTACCAATAGGTATTAGATTGGTCATAGTCACTGAGCGGGGTTAACCGAAATCTAGTAATTGCGACGACCTACACGACCAATTTTATTGAACAAAATTTGGGTTCTTGTGTAATTACCGAACGTATATAATATAATGTGAGTTCTGTGTGCGATAGATACGAGATGCACCCGGTTGTTTACTGCGGCATGTTTAAGCATAATTGCTATCATTTAGTAAAATACAACACGGCTTCGTATTCGGTTGCTCATTTTAAAATGGCACTGGGGTCGCAATTTTTTTTGTTCATGTACCGTTTCCTTCTATAATGCTAAACGATTTCGCTAGAACAACCATTGAGAACAATAACAATACCAGGTCATGATGCTAATAAGCAGCGCAACAAGGCTGACGTATTAATTTCCTGATTTCATGTAAAAGCCGATTAATTTTAATAAGTACCTTTAGAGCAAGCTGCGACCATGTTCAACTCTTTAGATTGGCCACATCACACCAGACAAAACGATGCCGTGCGGCGTATATAATCTAAATTCAGTGTGCGACAACAAATGAGAACCGGAAACATACACAGCTGTCGAGTACAATATGTTTCACCATGCTATTTGCAATTTATTGGATTGAAACACGAATTCTCCGTGTTCGGTTGCTTATTAATGTGGCACTCGAAGTCTACGATTTGTTCTACCTACTAGCTTTTCCTCTTAGTGCAGAGCATGTTGAAAAGGTCATTCCCGAATACATCAATGAGATAACAATCCAGCAATCAAAGCATATGCCATCGTCCTTGCGATGTGCATAGTATATTATCCAGTTCACGAAGAATGTGCTATTGACCCGTCGGGCTAAGTGATTTATTTCATGATTTAGTATTCACCGACCGATTGAATTCTCGCGGCAAAGATACAACTGTCTGCTTCGAAAATGATTAAGCCAGCAAGTTGGTGACATCGAATGGTCGTGCATTGGTCCTGGTTGCCTGGTACTCTCCGAAAGAGCTGTTACCAGCGGAGTTAGAACTCATCCTTCCAATGGAATCGTGAGAATTCGAAAGTGGGTGAATAGCGAGACTGCGCCCCTGAGCGCTACCACCCATCTCCGATTGAGTCACTCTCAGATCCCCTCGAACAGGTGATGTGACTCCAGCTCTCTCGCCCGCTGTTGTAGTACTGATTTCCGTGCCGCTCCTATCGCTGTGATCGCTTTGATTGGACGACAACTTGCCATGCGAGATGGACCTCGGATAAGCACTGTGTATGTTAGGAGACGACGGCGATCTGGCGTGAGGTGACTTGTCTATAACTGGAAGTGCATTGAGGTTCTGTGGTGACATAGCACTCTTCATGTCAGTGAACGAGTGGTTGTGGTGTCTCAGCCTAAGCCTACCCGGCGAGCTATCGACACTCCCATTCTCTCTATTCGCAATACCCGTACTGGCCGTGGTCACAAACTTGTAAGGATGCTCTCGCGTAATGGCATGAGTAGTCCCAGAGTACACACCGCTGTAAGAGCGTCCTTCGTCTGACAGTCGCTTAGTTTCCACCGTATCTCGGTGAGATGTTGGGTCTTGAGAGTGATGAGACTCAGTGTTCCCTTCCCCGTTGGGCTGGTTCTGATCTGAATTAGTGCCTGAACCATGATTGTCCCACGACGGAGGGGCGCCCAGATAGCTTGCACCGTTTCCACTCAACCCCTCACGTTCTCGAGGTCCGAACGGTGTTTGCCTCCCCGAACATTGTACGCGTGAGTATGAACTCGAAAACTCACTGCTTTTGCTTTGCAAACCTTTGCTTCCGGGTAAAGAAGACCCATTCTCGGTCGAATCCTCGCCTCTACTATTCAGTACACGTGGTATGCCCTTAAAGCTACCACCTCGCTGTGCGAGCGATGCGGGTTGCACGGGGCGACCCATAGATGAGCCACACTGATCTGAACCTCTACGTATAGAAGACTGGTTGTACTGTTCCGAGCTCACTCGCATCACCTGCTGGTGAGCGCCCTGTGCTTGGCCCTGGCTCATGTAGTTGTCGTTGCGCTGGTCCTGGGCCGAGTGGCTCGAACCAAGCGATTGCGCACGCGGCTCATCCGATGCACCCAGTTTAGCGGACACAGGCTGATGCCACATACTGCGACTCTGCTCTGCAGGCGCACTGTCTGGATAGTGTTTTGCCTGTGCACCTTGCTGCCCGTACGGGACGCCAGGGGAAAAGCTACGGACATCACTTACAGGATTATATGCGGGTGTGTTCTTGTCCCCTGACGATTTGTTGTCTTCCGCGGCTTGCTGCGCGTTCACGACTGACAGCGGTGCTTCGTTATCATGTTTCAGACGGTAATGTAAGTGTCTCGCGTGGTTCGACGCATACAATCTAGAGCACCCCTCGTGTCCACAGGGAAATGAACGTTCCAAATCGGCTCTACGCCGTCTAACACGGGTTGATTTTGAGGTCTTCTTTGCACCAACTTGCATTGAATTTGTATTGTTACTTTTGTTATTGTTGTTCATGTCGCCTCTCATACCCGGCCTTGACATCTGTCCACCACCACCATCACCACCCCAAACGCCCCCGTGGTGCTGTTGTTGATTTCTCATGTGACTGGGATACGGCTGATTCCGATCGTTGCGGTTAAAATTCAACGACACTGTCCCCAACACAGGCGTGAGTCCCGTAGACCCATGACCTGCCTGCATGTTCGCAGAGGTCATTTGCTGCACCATATTCTTTGGCCGCATAGCCTCTGTGATCACGGGTTCGGATCTGCGGTAATACACACCTCCGTCATTCTGAGGGTTTCTGTACTGTTGGTCCGGGTGTGTGGTGTGGTGTGGAGAGACATGTTGATTGTTGTCCCTCCTCGCAGAAAAAGCCGTCGGGGCAGATTGTGAGTAATACGCAGGGGGGTGGTGGCCGTTGCTCTGGTTACCGTAATCCCGTGACTGGGATCTATAGTAATTCATATTCGCATCGTTGTTGCGATCATTGTGAACTATATCCCTCGAGTGCCCCTGCTGTTGGTCCACATTCACACTACGACTATTGTAATGTTGACTCTCACGTGTAGCATATTTCTGCTGACTGTCGTAACTATCATTATTGTAGTGTTCGCGGTCAAGTTGGTTCGGGTATTGCTGATAATGCGGAGGTGCCTGGTGGCGGCGTTGTTGTTGGCAATCACCGCCACCGTCACCTGGGTTGTAAGATCCCTGTCCCTGTCCCTGCCCATGTCCGTTTTTTTTATCGCCATCCATACCTTGCAGCGAGGATATTGCAGAGCCATGATATGCTATAGGTTCGTAGCCGCCTGCGCAATTAGACAGGTGGGTAGAAAAATAGTAAGCATGGCGAAGGTTTCGCATGAAGTTACGCATCAAGCTAATGACCTGTAATATACTACTAAGTAAAAAAGTAGGCAGCTGCACTATGCAATACTACTAGGCTATAATATAAGCAATCGCAAATAAGGCCAGAAACGTATTCGAGCACGTAGTGACAGTAAAAGATATGTATAAATCGCGCACTCCTACACTGTGCCAAAGCTTATATTGTAAATAAAAGGTTGTGCTCCTGATAAAATAATAGTGATGAACTACCCAGAATCTACTATTAACATACGCACTATAATCAACACAACAAAGTGGAGCAACGTGCGCCTTATATTGACGCACAAATCTATAGAACAACACAGTATAGCCGACAGGACTGACCACTACCTACACCAACTTCTAAATTGCACGAAAACCGCACTAAAAAAACAGTTTCGCCTTGTCATAGAACTTGACACGGGGATACCTATATTTGACTAATGTTAGATAATGCCGCTATGTGTTCATACTAACCTATACTGCAATGGGGTTCACAACATGGGAAAAGAAACACAAAAACGTGTAGCTCATTTTTAGATATATATATATATTTATATATATGCTAAATATAAGTATATATGATATCAACATACCTTTTTGGTAGCCCTCCATCCTTCCTCTGTTGTTAGAATTTCTTCTGGACAAATGGTTATACGCTCGCAATGAATAGTTTATGTACCCGCCTAAAGTCCCACACGACTGTAATATACACCGTGAATATATGCGCCACGTTTTACTGGTAGCTATCGCACAGCAGTTCACGTGCCCCTTGTAAAAAAAAATTCCAGACTCGATCAAGGTTGATTTCTCACACTTACTATTGCACCACTTACAAACGAAATGTGCTATCGATCAAGCAGAGTCCTTTTTTTTTGGTGGAGTGTAAAACAATCAGTCCCGAAAATTACGATATTGTGGGAGCGCAACAATAAGGGTTGCGCTGCTAAGTTGGCCTTATATAAGATGAGTACACTGAACTAAGCTACTATAAACTACTATAGCACTAGCTTGTAGTGTTTGTGATGAAGTAGTTAGCCATCACTGGTCTTATGAGGACTATAAATCACGAGAGATTTAATTTTTTTAATTTTAATTTTGTATTTGACAGATACACAATCCGTTTTATTGTGCCGCTGCCGCATTCAACTATGGGCCCTGCTCACTGTTGACTGTTGAGCCTCTCTACTACTAGCTCTACTACAGAGAGAGTATTTACTAGAGTAAATAGTAGTAGAGACTAGAGAGAGAGAGAGATACATACAAATAAATAAAACTATGCGACGCTGAATGCAACAGTAGAAAAAAAATATTATACAATTGCAAGAACAACATTCGATAAAAAGCGACATCTTTTTTGTTTTAAACAAAATTATATAAATAGCAACAGAGTGCTCTAAAAAAGACAATATTTAGCAACAATGTGCTATGTGTTATAAAAAAAACTTGTGATTTTAAACAGATGGTTGTATTTCTATAAATTCATCATCGTGGAGTCGTAGAAGTTCCAAATTATATTCAGAATTGCTCTAAATACTATGCTACTATACTAGAATATATAAATATAAATATGATACAATTAATTTGCAACATCAAAAATAATTTTAAAAGATATATTTTTAAATAAGTATAAAGCTGGTATTCTGTCTTAAAAATATTTAAAAATAGTAAATGGCTTGTTTTATATTTTTATATTTTTGAATTTGCACAAGTTTGAAATTTGAATATGTAAGTGTTGGAAGGTCTAATTTTTTTAACAAAAAACAGAACTCAAAAATGACGGTGATATAAATATAAAACCTAGAGTAAATTATAAATTTACGGCACGTGTATGTGCTGGTTTTCATTGAGCGATGATCCAACAATGGCAAACTATTTCTAAAGAAAAACCAATGGTTCAGCTATTTTTCATGAAAATGAGAAAAAGTAGACTAAAACAAATTTAAAAATACTATTTTTTTTTATAAATAGACCTGATTTTAGTGTTTTGTTAAAAAAAGAAGAAAAAAATACAGTATGTAAATGTGGACATACTGTACTGTATATATTTTTTTAAATAAAAATAATACTAAAAATGCATAGCCTAAATTTAAAAACACGAATACAAAAACATTTTCAAAAAAGCAAATAAATCTGTGTCTCGATTTCGGAAGTTCGCTGCCGCCCTCATCAGGCCTCAGCCCTCAGACTTCACCCCTCAGCCCTCAGCCCTCAGCCCTCAGCCCTCAGGACTCAATCCTCGGGCCTCAATCCTAGGCTCTTGGCGCGTCCCTCGCTGTCGGGAAATGAAAAAAAAACTAAATATTTGGATGCGATGTCCTTCGGACGTTAGTCCGTTGTGGCAATTTTTTCTTTTTCTACTGGAGGGCCATGATGCGGTACATTTTTTTGTTTAAAAAAGAAAGGAGGAGGGGGGAGGATACTGGACAGCATCACAGCGAGACTTATATCATATATGTCACATACACATGTCCAGTTTGGAGCCTGCTGCCAGATTCGTAGTCACAAACCGTATGTATTTATAAATATCGATTTTTTTTTTAAATAGTCACCACTCACCACTCACTACTCACCACTCACTACTCATCACTTAGTCAATACAAATATTTCACCCTAGAAGATATCCTGATTTCTGAAACAAAGTAAATAGAATAAATAGGTTGGCCGAACTTCGCGAAAAAAAATACTGTCCTTACAGCATACTCTGGAGCAAAGCCTTCTAAACTTGAACAATTTTCAAAGGTTATGAATTAAAACCTTTTTTAAATGAATATATTTACGTAGCTTTATATGGACTACTTAGTTTTGTTTTTTTTTAAACAAAACAGTGCGAGACTGCGAGTAAAAGTGTGTTTTTTATATTCGGTTAAAATTTTTATCTATATCAAATACAAACGACAGCTCGGGAGAGATGAGATAAAATAGAAGTCCCCCGGCTGCAAAGGAAAGTCGAAAAAATCACAAATTCTGAAATTCGTTCACCGCTGTAACGCTGTATGTTTTGTTTTTGTTTTTTTTAATAATTTATTGTTTTGCTATAAAAAATACCCTATATAAAACATAAACAAGAAAAACAAAAGCATACAAAAGCATTTTCATTCTTTCCTATATATTTATTCAGTACATACAGTACTATTTACTATTCTAGGATGACTACACTCGCTACAGGCACCAAAGTCTCAGAGGACTGAGTCTGAGAGTTGAGAGTTTAAGGCCGGTTTTGCTAACTTTGCAAATTATAGGGAAATATATTTTGAGATGAGTAAAACATGATACTCCGGTAGCTAATTTCAGTATTTCTTAGCAATTTGGATTTTTGGTCAAGATTTCGGAATATTCAGAAAAATATTGAGAATCGATTTCCATAATTTTTCAGCACAATAATTTTAGAAATCGAATATACTGACAGTTTTGGCAACATCAAATTCTGTTATTCGAGACGTAAAAAACACAACACAATATTTCGTTTTGTTGTTTATTCCCTTCAAAGTCAAAAAGAGGGTAGACGCTCTTTTTGCTTTGGGAAAGAAATTATTTGTTGTGATTTATCAGATAACTCCAATTTCACTCGCATTACTCCGGTTGACATCCAAAACTCTGGCACTGGTTAATATACGTCAATTAGAACAGAATTTCTAGTGTCTGCGGCTCTGCGCATTTGCCAACTCGTAAAAAGGAATTGCTTTGCGAATATTCGACAATATTTCAAATACAACTGGCAGCATATTTTGAAATTGAATGGGAATATACAGTTCCAAAATTTCTCAAGAAATATACCAAAATATACCTATATTTTTTTAGGGCTGTATTTTCTCTATATTTTCCAAAGTTAGCAAAACCGGCCTAAGACTCGTGGAGACCTGAGTCCAGAGTCCAGACTCAGGTCCCAGTCTCTCAAGTCCTAGGGCCAGGAGCCCATAACGTCCACGGCCCACGGCCCACGGCCCACAGCCACGGAGACTTGGACTCTTGGAGGATAATACGACTACGAGGAGACAACAACTCTACGTCCTTCGAGAGCCTACGACCTTACATCTCTCTAAACTACTACTACTCTACTAGAGAGAGAGAGAGTAGAGAGTTATTTGTTGTCTACGCTGTAGTAGCAGATTCTGTAGCCGAATACATAACGTGAATGTGTGAGACTGTGAGTGTGAGACTGTGAATGTGAGATTGTGAGTCTGTGAGTCTGTGACTGTGACAGTCTGTGAGAGACTGAGAGTATGTCACACTGTGAGTCTGTGGCCTGTGTCTCTGTGAGTCACAGTGAGTGTGTGAGTGTGACTGTTATGTTTTTATAACGATAAATATTAAAAAGTGTCTCTCCAATGAATAGGCTATAGCAATCTCGTTATTCGCGGATCTCCATTGTTTGCCGCAAGACTCAACTCAGAGTAAATACTAACAGTTACAGTCTCCGATTCTCCGATTCTCCGCCGAATCTTATTTATCACCGAAAGCGTAGCTGTAGTCCCTATTTCTTGTTTGAAGTTGAAATCTGTCTGAAACGCTTTTTCCCCATTTGTAGGCCCCCAAGAGGCCCCCAAGGGGTCCTAAACGGAATTTTGTTTAAAAAATAGAGCATACTTTTGTGGGTCCGTTATTGACGGATGAAAAGAAAAGTTGTTTTCGGCCTCAGCTCACCCTGTGCGGGTATGTTCACAAGCTATCAGCTACCCTCTTAGGAAAAAAGTTTTCGGTCTCTGCAGCGCCCCAGCCGTGTTTTATTTTATTCACATATTTATCTCTAGTTCTCAACGCGCGAGTGTGTGACTGTGAGTGACTGTGAGTGACTGTCAGAGTGTGTAGTGTACTGTGTGCGTACTCAGTAGTCAGTAGTCAGTACTCACTGCACTACTAGTAGAGTGCACTGTGGTCTGTGGGTGTGGCTCAGTGACTGTGAGAATGTGGGTGTGAACTGTGAACTGTGAAGTTGTGAACTGAGAAGTGATGTGAATACATAGTATAAATAATTGATCTGTGACTGCACTGTCGCCGTGCATTGTGCAGTGTGCAGTGTGCAGTGCTGGAGTTCTGGACTCTGGTGAATGTGACTGGGTGGCACGGTGCTGTCAGCCAGTCGCTGCAGTGGTGAGTGTGGTGACTGGTGACTGATGAGTGGCGTCACTGGTCACTGGGGTCTATCTCAAACAGACTGGCATTTGAAGAAATGAAGCTGTATTTTTTTTAATAAATTTAAAATATTTATGTGACGGACTACTACATAAAAAACGCCCTAAAACTATGAGTGTGGCTGACTGGGTTTGGCAGTCACTGGCTGTCTAGTGTGTACCGTGTGGTTTATTCGCTGTTGAGTATTTACTCTATAGAGTGGGTGGACTCTGGACTGTGGGCTGTGGAGTGTGGACTGCAATTCTGTGAACAACTCGGAACTTTAGATTCTGTGACTCTGAGTCTCTGTGGCCTGTGTCAATGCTCGTTTATCTTATTTATATTTTTTGTTTTATCAAAATAAAAATTTATAAAACTGTAGTGTTCTTTTGAGGAATGTACATTGGAGTTGTGACTTGTGACTTTTTCATAATTTAGATCCACAAGGTTAATTATCAGGATAGAAACTGTCAAAACAGATCCAAAACCAGACTTGCACTTCCAACAATATTTCAAAAGCACAGACAGATTTTTTTATGAATATTTCAATCAATAAACTTTTATTTTTTAAAAAGCTGGCGACACCCCCCCCAACCG